CCACCACGAATAGCCTGCTTTTCTGCCTTCCAAGCAGCCTTGCAATCCCTGGAGCACACACATTCTCACGTTTAACATGTCAAAGAAATCAAAGCTTCTTGCAAGAGCAAACCTTGACACCATCACGAAGAACACCGATGATAATTGCAGCCAAGCACTGCAGCACCCTGAGTTCCCGGTTGTTCATCTCCATCAATTCGCTGGTCTCCTCTTCGTTGGTTGTGGGTGACATCCTGCCGATCAACATGGTTCCGCTTCCACATCAAAATCACCACCACAACCAAGTAGCACTTTGCTCTCGGCTTAAGCCATCCCCGAGTTCCTTGCGAGCAGTCCAGACGGTCGACCAAAACTGAGAATGGAGTATCTCAATCTGCTGATAACGTTTCTCCTCCAGAGGTTGAGGTTGTACTAGTTGGAGCAGGCCATGCTAGTCTCGCGGGAGCACGACGTTTGCACAAAGAAGGCGTCACATTCCAGCTGCTTGAAGCGTCGGATGGAGTTGGAGTCGAGTGAGAAGTGACACCCTCCAAGGCTACGTCCTGGACAGGGGCTTCCAGATTCAAGTGCCTGGTTCTGGGACAGAACTGCCTTCCCGCTAAAGGCATCGGCGAAATATCACAGCAGCTTGCTCGAGGCCTTCCAGACGAATCACTCAAGTTGAGCTCCCGAGTACAAGAGCTGCTTGTCGGATTGATACGTCAAGTCCAAGTACGGGACAATAGTGGCAGTCGAAGGTCCGGAAGCAGCTCGTTTGCTGAGCAGCAAAACAGCTTGGGAAAGCACCAATAGGCCTGCTCGCAGCACTGTTCTCCTGATAGAGCCCCAATCAAGAAAGCTGTCCTGCTCTTGAACGGGACTGGCAATTTGGCAAAGGCGTCATCAACAATATGTGCTTTCCCAGCACCGTCTGCTCTTCGTACGCCCCTGCTGGAAAAGATCTTGTCTCCGTAACATTGATCGGAAGATATTCCGCCAGTTCAGATGCCGACCTTGAGAAAATAGTGAGGTCCGAGCTTGAGGGATGGTTTGGGCGGGAAACAGTAGCGAAGTGGCAGCACTTGAAGACGTACAGGATCTTGTTTGCTCAACCCGATCAGACTCCGCCGACCAACCTCTCGAAAGAACCAAAAGTTGATGCAGGTTTGTACCTGTGCGGAGATCATCAAGTCTCAGCAACTTTCGATGGAGCACTTCTGTCAGGGAGACGAGCTGCTGTAGCGTTCCTTTCAGATTCCGAACTGAAAGTTCAGGGAAAATGAAGCTCGAGTTACAAACTTGTATTGCCATACCTCCTACACATACGGAACAACATGCCCATCCTCTCCAACAGTTGCCAGTAAACGCGACGACGTTGTAGTTTTCACTTGTACGATTTTTTATCCTACATAGCACGCTTGCATAAGAGACGACTTGAAAAACAAGAGTTTCATACCTTGTTCAAACATTTCAACCACTCTTTTTCCGGTGGAAAATTCCCAAAGAAAAACTTGCCCCTCGTCAGTGTCAGCAATCCCATAACGTCCCATGACGGCTGCTGAGCATATCCTGCAATCGAATGTTATGAACAAAACGTTCCAGTAGATTTTCATACCTGTTTGCAAGATCATTGCCAGCAAACAAGTCATTATTCTCTAGCAGGGCCATTCTCCAGTGGTTCTGATGTTTTGCATCGTTGGTCAGAAGACAGACACAGAAATCGTAGTCTTGATCTCTGAAATCATCCACCAAAGAAAGATCTACAATATGAATGTCTGAAAAAGTATATCTCGAAATGTGGCATGAAGAAAGTAGCTGTTTTTTGGAGATATTTCTGTAAGATGTAAGAGAAGAGAGTGAGTTTCTTGGACGACTGCAAACCGGAGATAGAAATACCAGATTGCAAAATAACCATCTGCGTCACATCCAAGAACAAGGTGAGGTGCTTGAGGAACGATGGCTAGCTTTAAAATGCTCCGGAAAGTCTTGCTGTTATACCTTGCAGGTGTACAGAGAATGCCTGAATAGGACATGATTAATGCAAGGAAATACAAACATGAAAAGCGATTACCTCCAAGACGGATCCATGCACCATTCTTTGATACAACCTTCATCTCCAGCAGTGACCAAAGAAAGACGTCCTGTCATCAAAAGGCATCTCATTGCGGCAGTCGCAAAAAGTTCAGCCTTCGGATCACGTTCAGCAAGAGAAACCACCCGCACTATATTTGACTAACTGGGAAGCTCAGGTCTATGAACAGCAAAAGTTCCCAGCAACAGAAGGTTGTCTCCATCTGGAGTGAGTTGAATTCCAAACTCCGCTCGCTGCTGTGAAAATAATGTAAGTCAAATAGAAAGAAACACAGAACAAACCTTCAGAGAGTCTGTCAGTGAAAAGGACTGTAGCAACGTTGCCTCCGATAGCAAGTTGTTGTCAAGGGAAATACGGTATACATATAGTTGTACACCGTGCTTCCCCAGAGGACCACAAGAGACACAGATATCCACCTCCTGACTCCTTGCGTTGAGTGCCACACAAAGAACTGAAAGTTCATGCTCAAAAGCAGTGACATGTCCGTGCTAGTAAGCCGCTTGCTGATGGAACTAAAGCCGGTAAATACTCTCGACTGCTTGTCCAAACCGTTGGCTACGGGATCCTTTTGATCAGCTTCCCACACTTTGGTCCACGTATCCGTAGTAGATACTTCTTGTTCGTTGATGGAACCAGACTTGTGGCCTGAAGCATTGTTGGAAGCATGCTTTTCTTGTTTGGTCGAAGTGTTGTCTCTTCGACTGTATGCTGGATTTTCTAGATCAAGTAGCTCCACATCTCTCAGAATCTGGCACGTTTCTTCAGCTGATGGCTCCCCTGGTACCTTTTCAAGTGTATCAGAACCAGTGTACCGCTTGTTGTCCAAATCATGACAGGATGTCGAGTGAATCTAAATTGTATGTTTCAATATTTTAAAAGTTTGTCACAACCTTAATTCTTTAAATATAGATTTCCTTTGTAATACTTACATTGATTTGTGCTCAACTCAATTTTAGACTATCCCTTGACATAAATTTCTTTAATGAGATTAAGTTATTTAACAGTTTAGTATATCCTCAAGATTACAAATTGAGGAAGATGAATACAATCTCAGTGAGGACGTGCATGATCGAGTTACAAGGCTCGTAGAGGAAATGGTTTTAACAGGACGCGTTAAAAGCCAACTTGCGGAATAGATTTCTCATGGGCAACCTATCCGGTCCATTACCGACACACGTACACTGGCAAGTTCGGAACCTTCTATACAATCGAATCATTCATTCATTCATGCGGAAAAATCCTGTTTTGATATCTCACAAAGAAAAAAAGATGAACAAAAAAATTTACATCTTAAACCGTCCACAGGAGAAGCGCCAGAGCCGCGAGTACGAGCACCAGCACGTAAACATCCAAACACCATTCGTGTTTGAGCTCGTGGACCTTGAGCTCGTTCTGCCGCTTGAGCAGCTCCCTGTGAGTTCTCAACACGCGCTCCTCGTCTCTACACTTGGCAAAGCTCACAGCCTGGCACAACACCGGCAATCCGTCCCTTCCATTCAGATGCTCGCCGCTGCCAACGTCCTTGAGTTGCATGCTCAGCTCCGTCAGCTTGATTTCGATCGACGAGCCTGACGATCGCAGCAACCTACACTTGAGAATTATGCTGCACTCGACTGGCTTCGGTAGACACTGCGAGAGGATCGAGCCGTATCGAAGGATGAAATCCATGTCGGTCGGCCAGTGCCTCTGACCCAAGACCGGCCTCCAGCTCGACAAGTTCGCTGCCTGCTTGCTCCCCTTGTCGATAAGGATCCAGCTCAGTTTCATCCCCTCGCAAATCTCCTTCCAGAGCTTTCCCATCTCCGTGGAAGAGGATGAAGAGCTCGACGGCGTGTCTTCTTCCATTCGACCACCACGATCCTGCTGGGGAAGACACGACGACTCCTGTATCAAGTCCACTCTAAACGGGCAGCTCGAGAACCACTCGGTCGTCAGTTCGGTGCCGGTGCCTGGAATCCCATCCACGAACCTGGAAAACAAAGTCTTCCCCTGGAACTGGACGTCGACGAGCGAAGCAAAATCCGAGGCCTGCGGACTAAAAACCGCAGCTTTGGTCGGCGGCGGTGAACCATCCGGCGAGACGAGCCTGGAGCACTCCGAGTAGAGCCTGTGGAAACCCCCGAGCTGCTGGATGAGTGGCCGAGCACACGATACCGACGGCCACTTCCCGGCACACAAATCCTCCCAGAGCTGCTCGTTCCTGGATTCCCTGTGAAAGCTGGAGCTCACACACCCGGCAATTGCCAGAGTTTCCCCGTCCATCCACCGCATCGCACCGCAGAAAACATCGTCGCAGAGAAGCTGCCGCTGCTGCTCCATAGCCAAAACTCTCTTTTCCTCTTTCTCTCCTTTCCCCTGGCGTCTACGAAACAAAGCCTTCTAGACAAACGACCCCTGCGATCTTTTCCGAGTCAAATAGCCGGCACCTACAACGATTTGACGGCCAGCCACTGTTGCAAGGAAGAATCGCATTCCCTTTCTATCGGCCACCTATCACTGTTGCTAGAGTGATCCATATTCACACCCGTATGGCTGAGCTCGCCACCTGGCCGTCCACGTGGCACTCTTTGGACGCGTAGCACGCGACAAAGCTCTTCTTTTTCTCCTTTTCTTTCTTAATTCCAGGCCCGATCGACTTTGCTGGAGCTGGCCACTGACAGCCGAATTAAACGCTTCCTAGGAGAGAATTGATCCGTCCATCCATTCATCCATCCATTCCATCTAGGCATTCTCCTCATCTTCCAAGTTCTTCTCCATCACAAGCAAAGCCGCTATTCTTGTACCTGGGACGCGAGCGCCGAGCGCGTCCCGGCCCGATCGGAGTGGAGCGATCGAGCAGAGCGATCGAGACGTACCTGTGCTTTCGGCGCGATCGTTCACGCTCCTCCTCCCTCCCAAAAGCCCTAACGCGATTAGCTTAGTACTTAGGGCTTTTGGGTTGCGATGGACAGTGCCGGGATTGCCGCCCGCGATATGGAGCTTCCAGAGCTCGCGGAGAGGAAGAAGAGAGCTCGGAGGCGCGGCTACAGGTAAGCTCGCTTCTTTCTCGCGGGATTGATCGGCCGGCTCAGTCGCAGGCCCGAGATTTACACCCAAGATCACGAGAAGCTGCTGGGGTATGCCAAGGAGGAGTGGAAGCACATTGGACGGATCTATGACAATGAGAACACGAATACCTGTCACCAATGCAGGCAAGAAAGACAAGAAAAACTTTTTTTTTCCCCTTTGTTTAGCTTCTCACTGATTGTTCTTAGGCAAAAAACCAAGGGGCCTCGCAGTTACTGCAAGGTTTGCAAGACAAGGTACCAGTTTTGCGGTGACTGTCTCTACAAGAGGTTCGTCTTTTTCTCTTTTTTCTGATCTTCTTTAGTTCTTTTTTATTTGTGAGCCAGATACGGAGAGAACGTGAACGAGGTGCTCGGGGATGAAAACTGGAAGTGCCCCGTTTGTAGAGACATATGTAACTGTAGCCGATGTCGACGGAGAAAAGGCTGGGCTCCAACTGGTTTGATGGCCAGGCGGGTACGTGCTCGTGTGTTGTTGACTGGCCACCGTGTTTTATTTGTTTGTTTCTCCAGGCAATCGAACTTGGTTACAAGTCGGTTGCTCACTTTTTGATCCTGACACGACGCTCCGGTACTCATATTCTCGATGGTCCTGAGGCTTTAAGATCAGTTGACACCAATAAGAGACCGAAAGTGAGAGGAAAAGAAGTCGACAATGCTTTACAGAAAAAGAATGATCACAGTGAAGGGAAGAAGAGGAAGAAGAAGCGCCAGATGCGCACGGTGGAGATCATCATCGTGGAAGACGAAGATCCCTCTTGATTGAGCAGCGGATGGCGTGAGAGTTGTTCAGTAGACCGGGCATCCTGCGATGACAATGCCTTTCGCAGTTGGACAGTCGGCCAGGGGACAATTGTCGACGTTGTTTCCCCACCAGCTCAAGCTTCGGTTCTCGATCCCCAGGCACAGGTAGAGCAGCACCCCCATGAAAGCCACACCAGCGTCCATGGCCGCCGAGAAGACGTAGTTGTACCGCTGCCACCATCCCTTGTGGTACCGGAAGATGAAGTAGTTGAAGATGATGCCGACGATGCTCCAGGAGATGTAGTTGACGGACGTTGCTGGGGGCATGTAAGCCGTGGCGCCGAGAATCACCGGGAGATTGATGAGAGGAATCCACTTCACGTTTGGGAAGGTCCTGGAAGCCAGCCAGACCAGCACGGGGCCGAGAGCTCCACCCAGGAAAAACCACTGGAGCTCCTTGTACTCGCCGTGGGAGCCAAACATCCTCTTTGGCCCAATGAGCCCCCAGATGACGGATGCGTCGAAGAAAACTCTATCACTGGGACAGGTCCAGGGGCTGTTTGGAGGCAGTAGAGACTTGTCACAGATGTTCTCGATGGAGCCAAGAAGCCACCACGCGCAACACATGTTGACGATCGCAGCGACGATTGTTCCAATGAACTGCAAGTGAACAAAACTTGTTTTGAGATCATCCTTTCTCTTGTGGCTATGTGACTCACTTGGACGTGGAACATGGAGCGGTGTGGAACTTTCATGTAATGGCCGAGTTTGAAGTCTTGCAAGAATGAGATGGCCTGTGTCATACTTATGTAGCCATACGTCTTGAAGCAAACGTTTGCCATGGGCTGGCCAGGAAGGAGATATCCCATGAGGTACTCTGTGATGATATTGAGTCCCGGGGTCTGTAAGTTGACAATTCAAGAGAAGTTGAAAGAAGAAACACGAAGCGAGAGTTAACTCACGATGTTTGTAGTTGCAGTAATGACTCCGATTGGCAGGGTGAACGAAGAAGCCACAACACAAGCGAGCAAGACACCCCACCATGGCAGTTGAAGCTCTGCCTTGTAGTATGCGCAGGTGGCGATTGAGGCGGCGATGCTGATAACCATAAGAGTATGAAACCACCACTGAGGAACGTCTGGGTACTTCCTCATGAGTCGGGTGTGGATGTCTGGCTTCTCAGTTAGCGCAGCTCGGCTACGCTCCCAAATGTATCTGAAAAACAAAAGCTTTAGCATCGAAACGCCATAGAGAAGAGACTTACTTTCCATGGAAACAAGCCACATGAGTCAGTGTAGAGGCTACAGCGGCAAACCCGAGCCCATATGAAAAGGCAAAGAAGGTGCTCATGTGAACCGGGCCTTTGCGAGCATAAGCTTCCAAGTCGAGATCAAAGTTCTTGTCCACGACGCTGGTCACGTCGTAAACCTGGCCATCTTTTGTAAAGAGATAGCTCGAGAACAAAGGATAGATCTTTGCGTCGTATATGTTGCTCCAGTAGCAGGCCGGCGTGACAATGTACATGACGACGAGATAGCCAAAGATAACGTTGCAAATCGCGAACCACGGTGTAACCAGCGGGCTGCCGAGGTACGCTGAGATAGTCGCCCAGTCTAGACTGAAAGAGCCGAGGCCGAGACCTTTTAAACCCGAGCCGAGTTGCTGAGCCAGCACGGACTTTGGAAAAATCCAGCAAACCCAAGACATGGAAGTTAGCATCATAAACATGTACCCTGGGAGTACGTAGTAGCAAAAACTCAGCGTCATGACGATGGCAAAGAATTGGCTCCGAGAAAAGCCCTTTTTTTGCTGCTGATCTTCTTCGTGCAAAGTCCTGGAAGAGAAAAAAAGAATGTTTGCCAGGATTAAGTGGTATGATTCTACCTGAAGAGAGAAACTTGAACCAAGTTTCCAGGCCACCACATATGAGCGGGCTCCACTAGGTGCTTCTTCATGAGTCCAGCCCAACCATATCCCAAAACCTGGCAAACACAGTCTTAGATTTAATGCAATCTCAAAAGTATAAAGCGAAGTATCAAACCTGTGTTGTCATCACGAGAAGAAGTCCCGCAGTAAAGCCCATGCTTCGTTTGTAGAAAGCTCTGGTTATGTTGACAATTCCCATTGCATAGGCACCTCCATTCCCGAAACCGCTTCCCGCGTTCGCGAATATGGTGATCAAAACGTGCTCCTTGACGTTGAACGGGCCCGGATTTAAACTGAAGCTGGAACTGGTAAATGGAACTCGAAAGCTTCTCTCGGGAAGAACGTTGGCCATGAACCTCCCGAACGGCAATGCGACTATTTGCACGGATATCAAGCCGATGATGAATGGTTCTGTTCGGTAGGAGAAGAACTGATTGAGGAACGATAGCAGAATACACGACAGAAGTCCTAGGAACCACATCCGAAACGTTCCCACCGGAAGTGTTGGGTCATCCCGCGTATCCACTGTAAGAGCTACTTCCTCAACTGGAGACTGGTCGTCCCCTTCCGCCTCGACTTGTGGAGCTACAAGGGGCTCGGATTCAGAGCTACCTGCGCCTCCCCCCATAGTTCCTATAGTTGGAGTTTCAGATCTTTACCACGAACAGGAGATAAATCCAAGTTGCAGCATAGCACACGCTCCAAATCCTCACGGTTGGCCACACCTAGAAGGAGAGATTCAGGACCAGCAATGCTCCAGATCCAAATTCACTGTCTCTTACCACGAGAAAAGTGTGTTATAAGACCGGTTTGTCTTCCGACTTTTTTGGAAAGGTAGCCTGACGTGAAACTCTTAACGTTGATATTTTCTACAACGAAAGTGGACGTGAGTGAATCGAACACTCAACCTGTGCCTATGTGGAGCCTCTCGTAACACAAAGCCATTTCCGAGGAGATGAAATATCGTCCCCACCACTTACAGGTATGTGCCACGAGCCCCTCTCGGTTTCCTGCACGAAAAGGAATTCCTTGGTAGGCCAAAGAGAAATATCCCGCTTACCTGGATGATAATTGAGTATGGCGGTGGCATGTGAAACACTGGACCATGCTTTGTAACGTGAAACCGAACCTGCAAAGTTTTCCAAGCTTTAGATTGGACCTCGAATCTAAACTTCTTACCTGGTGCCGCTCTTTCCAAGTGGGAAAAAATTCTCTTCCCAGCAGCTGGAAGATATGATCTCTCATTTCATCGTTGCTAACCAGCAGCGACTTGCACTTGACAGCAGCATACAGCCAGTACCTAGGAACCAAAACAGTAACCAGCAGAAAGCTATCGATAAGAACCTTACCAGTCGTCGTTTGATCCCGCCGGTGCTATGTACAAGGCCTTTGCATTAGACCAGTGCCGCAGTAACTGTTGAGCGTAGCTCGATCTGCCCGAGCCTTTCATCGTCCTTCCAACGTGCAGCACGATAAGAGGCCACTTGCCAGATCGTCGTTGTACATCTGCCACTACGGTCTCCAGCTGCAAGAAATGGTAAGTTTACTGAAGAAAGACCAATCGCAACCTTAGCAGCACCTGTGCAAAATTCAGCTCTCCGTTGAATCTCTGGTTGTAGAACCCCACGTTTGCTCCGTCGACGACTGTTTCGAAAGGTCCATTCCTGTCCAGCCAATCCTGCAAAATGACAAGTCGTGAAAAAGGTTCATATTTGCAACACACATACCTTGAAAATACCAAAACTGTTATTGCTCTCCCTTTTGAACGCCAAGGAGGCAATGCACTTGGCAAAAACGTCGGTATCTTCAGGAGTAATATCGATGGTAACCATTTGTTCGTTGCAGCGGCAGCACACGCCTTCTGCGGTTAGCGACGTATATCCAACGTTCCATCTTCCCTGTCCCAGCCATCCCAAGCCATGCCAGCCCCCTCCTTTCGCAAGAGATGAGCATCTGACGTCAAAGTCTCCCGGCAGAGAATTTCCTGTAACTCTACCAGCGAAATCGCTCTTGAACCATCGCTCGATGACACTGACAGTTGACTGCGAGACATCCCTGACAGTCTCTCGAAGGTGATGGAGGAGTAAATACACTCGATCCCCAAGACAGGCTTTCGAGCTGAGATGCAAAAGAACTTCCAGTTCCGCCTCCTCGGGTTGAACACCATGAACGAGCATGTGGTTGTAAACTTCGAAAGCCTTTTCCGGGTCGTTCCGCTTGAAGTAGACGTACAAAGCAGGACCATAACACCGGAGCTTGGGTGGGATCTTTGCAGCTATCATCGCCTTCACGATTTCAAAGGCCAAGTCACCGTCACGTTTTGCTACTGAAAGCCTTGCAAGAGCTGTGAAAGTTGCTTCATTTGGTGCCACATTCTCTGCTTGCATCTGCTCGAAGATTTCCAGTCCTTTCCTCAGGAACCCGTCCATCATCTCCTTCGTAAATCCCATTAGATTTCTTCCGCTCAGGCCAGCCATGTTGCCGCGCAGAACAACACCATCTTCTTCCACTTCATCTTCCGCGTAAGCTTCCAGTCCATTCTCAGCTTGATTATCTGAAAAATCAGGCCTTTGCCTGCTTTGCTTGCCCGGTGCCAAAACTCCCAATGCTGCGGAGGAACACAGATACAGCAACACGTTGTAGTTGTAGAGGTCGAACTTCACAGCTTCTCTGTTTGAGCTGTAAGCAGACAGAGCTCCGTTGACGTCTCCAAACTTCGAGCAAGTATCCAGCGTAAACCTGACCTCGGACACGAGATTGAACTTTTTCTTTCTAGGTGACGGAGAGCTTGCACGCCTTTCTTGCTCTTCTACTCTCCTCTTCTCTATTTCCAAGTAGAGAGGCCGAGCTGAATTCGCCTGGTCCCACTGAGAGCACACGTCTGGAAAAGTTTCTACTTTCACGTTGCTGAGATTTTCTGGCTTGGAGCTTTCGGTGGCCATTGAATCCATAGCCTGGGAAAGATCGAAGGTCGGACACTTGGAACCTTCAACACTGCACCTGGAAGGAACTTGTAAAGCTGTTCCATTGGTCCCATCAACTAAAACTTGTTCCTGTTTCACCGTACCTTTGGATTCCTGGCCGCTGTTTCGTGTCAAAGACGCGTCCACAGCTGCCTCC